AGCAAGGCTCAGGCTTACCAATTCTTAAACAGCCGCTGAGCAAACTCCTGCGCTACATCACCGGGTCTTCGACGGAACCAGTTCATGCAGAGGATGAGTTTCTGGGTGAGCCTTTGGAGAAGATCGTCTTTGTCAAAGCAGACACTGACGATGGACAGTGCCACCTTCCACAATCATTGAAAGACAGTCACCTGTGGGTGGCAGCACCATGTCTAATAGAAAAGGCTTTGCTCATGGAGCAACTTCATTTGCAAATTATCAGCCCCAGCTATACAAAACAACTTGGAGAGCAGACCCATCTTCTTGGTTTTGACGATGTCTTGCTGGCTGGCATGCTTGCTGGTGAAAGCCGGGAGAGGACCTACGAAAAGCAGCCGCCTGTGAGTCAGGGTCTCCGAGGAGAAGCTCAAGTGGAGTTCAACTTCACCTTGCTTCTTTTACACGACCTAACCTTCAAGGAGGACATCCAGGTGGATGTGGAAGAAAGCAATGCCTCAGTGTTTCAACAGATGTTGTCGACACTTCACAACTCGACCCAATGGGAATGGGACTGGTCGAAGATCCGAATCTCGGTGTTTGATGATTTCCGTGCAGTCCGATGATTTCTTTTGAGTGCGAGAGCCCAGATTTTTTTTGGACCATTTTCTTTCGTAGTGGTTTAAGCTCGAGTAAGTTGCACAACTCACCGCACCGTGTCTGAGGAATTGTTTACTCTGGCTCCAACTCGGACCTGTCTGTCTCGGAGGGGCGAAAGAAGGAGTGGCTTCAGCTCGTCCTGGAGTCGGCCGTTTGTCCGTCCGAAGAGCTTCTCAGTGGGCCTGCAACAGCAAATGGCCTTGCATGTCTGTCTGGTGAGTGTGAGAACCTCACCACTCCACAGTACTTTCTCAAGAACCTGCCTTCTGGGGACGTGGTTCCAATCCACAGCGCTGGCAAACTCTCTGCAGGTGCCAAGAATCACTTCTATGTTCTTGGCAAGTGGATAGCAAGAGCCTACATCATCGATCCAAGAGTTTTTGCTCCCTTGCCTTTGCACAATTTCATCTATGAGAGCTTGGTGGCAGGAAAGCCCACAGCTACTATTGGAGCAGCCCACTACAGCAAGGATGACACCATTGAGGAGGGATTTTCGTGTCATGAATTCAACTGTTGAAGGTGAAAGCCGAGCCAGCGTAGTGTTGAAAGGGACAGACGCACATTGTCATGCATAATGCAATGCATTGTTACGTCATGGTGCCGCACATCAGGAGTGCGAGCGGCTCGTCTCGATCTTGGGCAACCGCAGGCTGGAGGACGTGGGGCCTTATGCTTGGAAGAGCTGCGACGCAGTCCAGGACTGCTGGGTGCCTGTGAAAGGCAAAAGGGTGAGGTCAACATGTTGAAATCGGATGATATCGGATGTTATCGGTCTAGTCTTGATAGCGTCTCGAATCAAGGAAGGGTCAGGACATGATGCTGGTATGGTGGCTTGACTGGCTGTGCGAGGGGGAGAGAGAGAGAGAGAGAGATAGATAGATAGATAGAGAGCGGGGGAGATCTGTTAGACTCTGCGCCACCAAAATGAAACTTGGAACAGCTCAAGCCTTGAAGCCTTGCCAGGATGCAGACACGGGGAAGTATGTCCAAGATGATTGCTACGTGCCCCTTTACCGCTCTCCCGACACGTGGAAGGAACTGGACATCAAGTGGGGTGCAGCAGCACCAAACGGTGTCGAGCCATACGATTCGGTTCCTTATGAGAGAGCACGGGAATACACTGAGCAGAACTGTCGCTACCTATGGGAGACGGGCTTTGCCGATCCAGTTGAAGAAATCATCAAGGGCTTTCGCGAGGTGATCCCCACCGACAAGATGTTCTGGAAGAAACTGCAAGGAGCATCTCATTTGAAGCAATTGGTGGAAGGCAGCCACGAGGTGGATGCTGAGAGCTTTCTGGCCAGGGTTGTTTGGCAAGGGCCCTGGTCAGAAGCAGACCGCCAGATGATGGAGGGGTCATGGGAGAATTGCATCAGCAAGGGTCGGGCTTACCAATTCAGAAGAAGCCGCTGAGCAAACTCCTGCGCTACATCACAGGATCTTCCAGAAAGCCTGTTCCGGAACTGGACGGATTTGTGAATGAAACTTCGCACAAAATTGTATTTGTCAAAGATGGCACCGATGATGACAAGTGCCACCGCCCCTTGTCAGTGCAAAACAACCGTTTGTGGGTGTCAGAGGAATGCCTGACAAGCAAGGCTTTGCTAATGGAGCAGTTTGATCGGCCCCTTGTGAGCCCTCAAACTGGACAAGACATTCACCTTCTTGGCTTTATGGATGACTTTCTGGATGCTGAGAATGAAAGAAGGAAACTCAAAGGACAGCCTTTGCTTGACACAGGTCTTCGAGGACTTGCCCAGAGAGGTTTTGACATCATCGATGCAGAATGGCCTAGACTGGAGGTGAACCGCCAAGGCAATACATCGGTGTTTCAGCAAACGCAGGCGGAATTTCGAGCCGTGCCCACTCGTCTGTATGTGAAGTGGGGCAAGATCTCTTTTGCAGGTGAGGCCGGCGTTGATGCGGGTGGATTGAAGAAGGAATGGCTTCAACTGGTGCT